AAAAATACGCCTGTATCATTTTATCACAACACACCAACACAGCGCAAAAACTATTTTTAACATAAATAGCTTATTTACAGTTTTGAGTTCCTTCATTTTTTTACCTTTTTGCAAAAAGGCTCAATTTAAAATGTCAAAATATTTGTTATTTATTAACTCAATACAGTTTTATCTTTTAGATTTAGTCAGAAAATATTTTTTTTGTGCACTGATACTGATTTTAGTGCTTTATCAATTGAATTGTGTATTTTTATCATGTTATTTTAAATTTGAGAAACATTTACGCAATTTTCGCAGGGCCTTCAAATTTAGTAGCACCATCTTGTTATTCTACCAGGCCTGTGCTTTCAGAAAATATATGGTTTGGGGGGTCTTTTACAAATGCTAGCAACACAGCAGCTGAAAATCAAATCAATGGGAAAAATTGCAAAAATGGTGTGTCCAGCTGAGGCGCAAAATGTTCCGGAGGGCTTGGCAGCGAAAGGGTTAATGGCCTTAGAATTATTGCTTGCACTTCGATGTTTGCGATGGTATGTAACATATGTGGTGCCATCGTCGTTTTCGCACGTAGGTGCACCCGACACCTGTTTGTATGTGCATGTATGTGGGGGCGGGGACTTAAACATTTTTTTATTTTTTATGTTTTTTTAATGTGTTTTATTGCAGTTTTTAAACTTTTTTTACACTTAACTTTATTGATATCACATAAGGGCCTCGCAAGCCTGCGTTGGCTGTGCACAATGTTTTCAGTTTCCCGCTCGTGCATGCGCAGGGGCGCACGCATTAGCACGGGTGGGGAAGGACATTTAAAAAAGCCCACCAGCCATCAAGAGTGAGCCATCCAGCCCTTTAATTACAATCGGCCGGAGGGCAAGTGGTCAAAGATAAGGGTAAAGTTCCTATTTAAGATAAAAGATTTCGGAGCAGCCATTTCACTTCAGAGGAAGTTTTTGCTTGCACATGGTTAAATCTCTTAGTAACAAAAGATAAGACTCACCAAGTAGTTTAGCCCCAAAATGTATTATGTGACAAAGCCAAATGACCTCAGATGAACACTGCCATTATTTGCCTGTGCCATGACATGCAGTGCAGCTGTATATATACACCATCAAAGAAAGAATGGCTTCTAATAAAAGGTATTTTAATTTGTGATAGGTCTGCTTGAGTGAGTCACTAAATCTAATGTAACAATCAGTGTAAATGAAGGGCCATGTGAGCTAACATAGTCACCTCTGCCCGCTAGCGGTTGTGTACAATAACAAGGGTGTAGTTATGTAGGCTATAGGCAATCACAAACCTTTATCTGTTTTAGTGTCATTAAAATAAACAAACATGAAAAGAGTTCAGTGTTCCAATGTCCAAGGTCAGTTTAACTAATAGGTATTCAGAACAAGCATTGTGAAATAAATGAAAAAGGCTTTGTTATCCTGCTTTAAAATATTTCCTTACTTTTACACACACTACATATTCCTGCCGCTTCTGAGTAGCAGATTCTGCCGATTTTTGTGTTTCCAGGTCTTCATATTATTCCGGTACATTAAAAATATGGGTGTATGGGCACCTTAAGGTTTGGGATTCGAGGTAAGTCCTGAGAAGTTTTTTTAACCCATAACGCACTACATGGCCTTTGAACTATGGCCAGCATGCTTAGAAGGACAATATGGTTTTTATTTAGGGATAAGCCATACACAGGGCAACCATGGTGTCAGGGAATTGGAATATGTTGTAATGAAAGCATAAGGAAAGCTGACAAACTTCAAAGAGAGAAATAATAGTCAGTTAGGAAAATGTACTTTCATACTGATTGCTAGTTTTTTAAGCAATCAACCCCTTTGGTGCCTTTTTTGTTCTCTTTTATTTCATTTTATGGTTTATTTGAGGTCAGTGGTCACTTTTAAATTACCGTTTATGCCTTCCACAACAAACTTTTTTTCTGCAAGTTGGGCTTTTCTTTTAGGTGTTGCATTTTTTTCCTTTTTCTTTTATGTTGATAAAGTCTTTTAGGTTTTAGGGTACTTAAAGTGGACTATACTTATTACCATCGGTTCTTTAAGCTGCACACCGTTGCATTTTATGAAAGGAAAAATAAAGTGCAAAAACAATGTGCACCTAAACCACCTCACATTATATCACTCACATTTAATGTACCATCTTAGCCTGAAAAATAAAATAAATGTTAGGCATAGAAGGGTTAGGGCAATTATACCTGATTAAAACTAGACTTGTGCACGGGACTAAATTTAGTTTTGTTTTTGCTTTGTTTCTATTTGGATTTAAAAAAAACATTTATTTAGACCCTTTAGGTCTGGCAGAAATGTGAGGGGTCCCCTTTTAAAATCCCTTACTGGAACCTTAATCCGAGCATCGGCATGAAGGAGCAGGAAAGGGGGGGGCAACTATGAGCCCCCTCCTGCATCAGACCACATGCCCTTAACAAGGGGGGGGGGTCCTTTGCTATGGGAGGACCAATGCACCAAAAAAAAAATCCCTGCCGCCATATCAGATCCTGACGAACAACGTCCGCAAATGACAAGTCTGCTCTGGAAGGTAAACAAAAGGGGTAGAGTGAGTCGTGACTTCACTGGACTTGTTCTGCCCATTTGTTTATATTCTTTTAGGGGACTGAGAGCTGTTATGGAATGTAAACAAATGGGCGGAACAAGTCATGCGAAGTCACAGCTTGCTCCACCCCTTTGTTTACCTTCTGAAGCAGACTTGTCATTTGCGGCCGGTGTTCAGTGGGTGGCAGGGATTTTGTTTTCCAACACGTCGGTGACCATCGTCCTTCGTGATGGGCGAGGATCTATATGGTTGATTTTAGATTTTAGAATATATATATATATACAGTATGTCACAGAAGTGAGTACACATTTTTGTAAATATGTTATTATATCATTTCATGTGACGACACAGAAGAAATGAAACTTTGCTACAATGTAAAGTAGTGAGTGTACAGCTTGTATATCAGTGTACATTTGCTGTCCCCTCCAAACAACTCAACACACAGCCATTAATGTCTAATTAATGTCTAATGGGCCCAATATGGACATTTTCACTTAGGGGTGTACTCACTTTTGTTGCCAGCGGTTTAGACATTAATGGCTGTGTGTTGAGTTATTTTGAGGGGACAGCAAGTGTACACTGATGTACAAGCTGTACACTCACTACTTTACATTGTAGCAAAGTGCCATTTCTTCTGTGATGTCACATGAAATAATATAATAAAATATTTACAAAAATGTGAGGGGTGTACTCACTTCTGTGAGATACTGTATGTATTTGGCTTTTGCTTGCAGAGTGGGGACAAGGCAGAAGGGGATCACTTTGGTGCAGTTGGCCAGCTTGAACATTGACATTTCAATATATGTGACATTAGGAATCCCAGTTTTTATGTACATTTCTTCTAGAAATGTAATAGGTTGCAGAGGGTTAACCTAGAATACTTTAGGTGTTAACTATTATTTGTTATTGTATGCTGAAGCACCTGGAACATAAAATCCTTTAAAAATATTTAACATTCAGTAAATTTGTATTGACACAATAAATCTGCTTGCAGACAACATTCCTTTATCTTCTTGTCTATACACCTGTCACAATATTTGCTGCATAAATGTATTCATTAGGGATGACATAAGCAGGAGTTAAGGGGTATTCAGGAACGGGGAGATCATATCACACTGAAGCATAAAAATAGAAGAGATATAGATGATTCATATGTCATGTAGCGGGCTGAGAACATTCATTGACAAGTTTTCACACCTTGTGATTTCTTACACCTACAGAATGCAAACACCACAGCAGAACTATAGAAAATATCATCCACATTAGAAGTAATTAGCAAACAAGCAAGTTTCAAGAATCAATATTGTTGTTTTTTTTAACAGTAATTTTTTAATTAAGTTTGACATATTAACAAGGAACAAATAGGACAAACAAGAAACATAGGCCACAAAGGCAATACAGAAACATACAGGGTACATAATACAAAGGTTTCCTGGTAAAAGCATAAATACATAAAATCACACCAATCAATCCGCAGTGCAGAGAGCTTAAGCAGGAGAAGGAGCATCAATTATGCTAAGGACCAAATCTCAAAATGCATAAGGTCAATATCTCACTAGGGTAAGCCAGCATTATGGCATAAGATTCAGCAGGTTCTGTAGTATAGGAACATCTCACAATCCCACAGCAAACACAATGGGAGGGGATGGGATACAACTCAAACCCTCCAATGTTAGTCCCCTAGCCTCCATCAAGTCCAAGTCCATCCAAATGTGATCAAATTTACGTGGGCAATCCCGACTCATATAAGTCAGCTTATAAAGAGGGCGGCGCATCCAGCTTCCATCTAATAACAATCTCAGGTCTAGCATAGAAGGTCACATAAGAAATTAGGAGTCTAGTAGCTTGGGTAGCGGGCACCTGGTCCACCAGACCCAATAAGAATATCTTAGGATTCGCTACAAGTTGCAAACCAGTGACACTATTAATTATGGAGAGTACAGAAATCCTATAGGGCTGCAGCAATCAAACCACATGGAAAAAGGGTACCAACCGCCACCTTGCACCTATGACAAAGAACGTCCCCTGTATGGTAAATAGCTGCCAGTCGAGAAGGAATGAAATATTCCCTATGTAAGAACTTCAACTGGAAACATGTATCTCTAGGGGAGACAACAGTCATCTAGTAGTACTGTACACAGCTCCCCCCCAGTCATCCTCCGTCAGTGAAGGGATATCAGCTTTCCATTTTCCAAACAGATGAGGTATTGTGGGACCGTCAGCACAGGTCAGTCGAAGATAGAGGGAGGAGAGAGGTTTGTGAAACCTACCATTCATCAAAAAACGTTCAATACTATCAGACTCAACTGTCATCAAATGTAGAAACTGAGATTGAAAGGCATGTTGCAGTTGCATTCAGCAGAAAAACCTGGAGCCAGGTAAAGACTGTAATCAACATTGTTATTTTTAATTAATAATTGATTTTTTAACATTTTCAGCACAGGGGAAAAATGGCGTTCCAGGAGAAAAATGATAACCCCAACCTTCCATTTTACCATTCTTTCGGAATTCTTGGAAGTGATGAATGAACAATCAAGAATATTAGTTGAGAAATTTAAGAACTGTTTGGATATGGATGCTTTCAACTGCTTCATGGATGTAACTCTGTGTGCCCTGGATATCATATCTGGTAGGTTATGGGGTAGTGGTGAAATGTAATCATTTAGAGCTAATCACCAGGAATTATATTTTTATTAAACTGGTCTAGCTTGGTTACATCTAATTCTTCATATTTTAAACCCAGAAGACTGCTTTGAAAACAGAAATTCACTGTAGTAGACTGTGCTTCATATAGTCAGCACTGCTGTTTCCTTGGTACTGCTCGAGCGCCTTGCCCTCTGTATACTGAACACAGGGAGTCACTTTCTCAGCACCTCCACCACTCAGAAAACATATTGTATTTTTCTTAATTTAACACTGACTCTGATTGGACAAGACGAAGATTGTAATGCCATCTTTCTCTCCTCTCTTCTTCTCTTGCCTCATTCAATCAGAGGATATCCTGTATTCATTAGAAAAGTACAAGATGTTCTTTGAATGGCGGAGGTGCTTAGCAAGCAGCTCACTTTGTTCAATATACAGTAGTCACTCGTGCATCATTTGTAAGAGACTAGCACTGACTGTATTTAGCATAGGCTACTACGGTGAATTTCAGCATCCCCAGCTGCCCTCCAGATGTTGGAAAGGAAGAACTAGATGTGACCATGATGGAACAATGTAAGTTTAAAAAAAAAAAGTTAAAGTTTAAGTTAATCCATAAAACCAAACCAAACCTTTTTTTGGTAAGAGTGGTGGATGATTACAATCTCTGTCACCGTCCTTCCAGCTGTGGTAAAACTACAAATCCCATGAGGCATTGCAAGATTCTCACAGCCACAGGCATCATGGGATTTGTAGTTTCACCACAGTTGGAGGGCCGGAGGTTCCCCACCCTTGCACTATTGCATCAGATGAGCAAATTTGGCCTAGATTGTCAACGAGTAATAAAAACCTAACCAAAGTTCTAACCCTACTCTGTCCACATCTAAAAAAAAAAATGTTTTTAAATTTAAATATAATTTCAAGATATGAAAATAGTAAATAACATTAACTTGGAGTGCTTCATTTTTGTGTGATGCTAAATAAAGACAATGTCATAAATTCTCAAGTCAGAGCATGAAAAAAATGAAGCTAGCTTGATTCACAAGCACATGAAACATCTGTTGCAGATGTAGAGAACTGTACTTCCTCAGCACGTCTTGGTCAGCTAGCAATATATTAGAGGCCAGAGTAAGAAAATAAAGCCAGAGTAGGCCCAGCTAGCAGTGCTAATGCTAGTTGCACCTAAGCAGTAACTTCACGTAGACTTTAGTGGGGCTGTACTTCTAGCATCTCTACTGTAAGATTATGGCTTCATTCAAGTCTATAGGGAGTTACTACACAGGCGCTGCTAGCCCCAGAGAAAATCTTGAGCCAGGATATAAACGCTAGAGGAGGCTGCTGCTTTCAGGGAGGGGTAATTAAGCATCTGGGTGAGGGGCTTCTTTGTTAGACTAGGTTATGGGGCAAGGAAGGGTGTGCTAGGTTCTTCTTTAAAAAGTAAACTTGTACTTTAAGTTTCTGGCTCAACTTGTTTCTGATGCATGAACAAATCGTGCACCATCTAATTGTCCAATTGGCTTATTAATCCATTGGCTGTAGTGTTTATGTCAAAACTCTTAATGCTGGAGCCAGTTCACAATCCAATTGTGGACTCTGTAATGAACTGTGTACACCCGCCTTTAGTTACACTGCTGTTACAAGTGTCCCTTAGTTACAGGCGCAAACAAAGGGAACCTTTTTTTTCCACTGGTGATGGTGCACCCTATCCCCCAAGGAGCCAGCTCATGGATAGCTCTAGTGAACATGGGCATATGTCAGGAATCTGTGGTGGTTTCACCCATTTGGGTGCTTGGCAGTCATCTGAGTCCTGCTCCCCTATCTGTGTGGCTGTTGGATATCTCTGATCATTATTCCTTCTGGCGCAGCTTCTCTTTTTTATGTTTTTCTTCTATCTTCCCTGGGTCATGCTGTTCACCTGTTGCTTTGCTTTTGTTTCTGTTCTCTGCTGCAGTCCTTCTCTTCTTTAATGCATTTCAGACCTCTTGGATGAGGCAGACCTGTGTCCTAGCACAAATATACCTGCTCTTTTAATTTATTCAGGTGAGTTGTGTACATGCACAGGTGAAGTCAAGTACACACCTTGGTCCATACTCTTTTAAAAAGTGTGCTTCAATATGATTCTGTTATCCTCAGATTCTTTTTCTTGTTGCTCTGTCTAAAGAGGATTCTCATGCATTCTGTCATTGCCAGGGTCCATTACCTATATTCTTACTGCTGTCTTCTAGCTTATTGTACACCTTGACCCCTGCCCACTCTCAGTTTGTGTAGACCCTATACCCATCCTATGCTTGATCTCCCCAAACCTGCTCTTCTCAGACTTGTTAGAGTTTTTGGATCTGATTGCTTACTTGTCCTAACCTTGATAGTATTCTGCCTGAACTGAACTTGACTGTGATCCTCACTACGCATTTGCTCCTTACTCTAGTTTTGATGGAGTTACCTATGGCAAAGACCTTAGGCAAATCTCCTTGACTACTTCATGTTTCCTAATGTACCCTTGGTGAAGAATGGTTTCCTTGTGTTAGGAACATATAATATGGTGTGTAACTTCCTGGTGGCTACCACGTACCAGTGCATGTATTTAAAGCTCCCTAAAAGTAGTTGCTGAAGGTATAGATTGATTTAGAAGTGTGAAAACAAAAGGGAACAGAGCGCCATCTCCGTGTGTAATATTGTTTAATAAAATAAATAAAACAAGGGATATAAGTACTCACAAGCAAACGTTTTCATCACGCTTTGACAACAAACAAGAGGCCACCCTGTCTGTTAACCCAACATGATGATTCTGATGAAGGGGGCTTGCCCCTGAAACGCATCAATCTTGCCTGCCAGTGAACGGTGATGTGACCGGAGACAACCGTGGTACATAGTTGGGGCGATACCATGTTGGGTTAACAGACAGTGTGGCCTCTTGTTTGTTGTTAAAGCCTGATGAAAACGTTTGCTTGTGAGTACATATATCCCTTGTTTTATTTATTTTAATAAATTATTTTACACATGGAGGTGGCGCACTGTTCCCTTTTGTTTTTTATGTTCATGGTGGAAGCACCAGAGCCTTGGATGAGCAGCCCCTCAAGTCTTTGTGAAAAACTGTGATAAACTGTTGAAAACTTTGATTATGCAACAGCAAGTGGATCGTTCAGCTGGCAGCCATTGGCGCCAAGAGTTAAAGAAAACTGTTTGTCTGATGTAAGAAGTGTCCATGGCTCTCTTATTCTCCAGTTGCACTGCTTCTACTGTAAACAAAACAGCGGTGGTGTTGATATAGGTGTAAGGAAATTCAACTTGTGGACATGAGCTGTATGAAAATGACCAACATTTGCAGGGTTAGGAGGAATTACACAATGAGCAATTCAACTTAGAAAAGGGATGCAAATAGGAGAACATATATAATCCAGACAATTGTGGTTGGTGGCCATGGTAGTGGTGTGAGGTGTTGAATGGTGATGTATTTTTATTCACAAAAAAGACAAGATGACCAGTAATCAGCAATAAGCATTGTAATCTAATGATTTAAATTATTGTGTTATTAGGCAAACTGCTAAGTAAACAGAGGTGCAATTTTCCTATGCATGATACCCTTACCATGGATAAATAGCAAGTTCTATTTATTATTCATTAATGATGTCCTAGAAATAAGGGAGGAAGCTACAATAAGCAATACAAAATGTATGAAGAGTGGCAATTTTGTTACGAGCTATATAATTTTAAATATGTACATTTCAGTAATGATCAGATAGTAAATTGCTATAATGGACCATTATGTACAATTGTCTTTATTAAAGCATCTTACGTGAGCACTGTGTAGACAGCCTCATTGTTCTTAATAAGAGACCAATTTTCAATGCTGGTTTTGTGTTTCCTGTTCTTTTTTACCTACAGAAACTGCCATGGGGAAGAAAATCCATGCACAAAGTAACAGCAGCTCTGAATATATCCAAGCAATTTATAAGTAGGTTTTGTTATTATTGATATTTATAAATGATCCTCTATGAAGAATCTATGGGTCTTCCTCTATGTTATACTGTATATGTAAAACAGAAAGATTTAACACTGTAATGTAGTATTTCTGAAATCTGAATAGAGGCTGAAAACTTTCAGTCACGTATTGATGCTGTGCACCCTTCACATTTTATTCAAAACCCAACTCACCTTTGGATGATCATTTGTCCAAAAGTGTGTCACTTGGCAAAGCCTTATAGTATTGCACTTGATAGTTCACCTTGGGTAGTCTATCCATCAGCATCTGTCAATTTAATTAAGACAGTGAGCCCAGCAAGAATATTTTGGAAGACACTTTGGAATTTCAACTTCCAAATTGCCATAAATTAGTTCTGTTACAGAAACCCAGTAAGGCTGTGCAGTGTCAGGCTGTGCAGTGGTGTCAGGTACCACATATAAACATTATTTATTGGCTTTCTCTTTTAAAGAGCATTTGCACGTTCACAGACAAATTAGGATACCACCTATTTTACATTTGTTAAACGTTTCCATTCACATAGTATAAGCTTAAAAAATAAAAGAAAATGATTTTTGCAGTTTAAATAGCTTTTACTTGGGTTGGGGTTTTAAGGGTTACAATTTTTTGGGTTCTATTTATTTTAAATGTGGCTTGTGCATTGTATGTTAATGAAGCTCATCACAATCCCCAAATTTCAACCCCAAGACTTTCTATTGGGACAGACCGTTGTAAAAGGGCTATGAAAAACCTGGAAACAGCCATCTTGCCTGATTTAACAAAAAATCTAGTAGGATGAATTTTTTTAAATGTTATTTTTCAGTATGTTGTGTGAATAGAAACACATAACTAACATATGGTAGGGTTTTCCTAAATTTGGCTGCAACAGTGGAAATACACTTTAACTGCATATATAATATAGCTATACAGGTGAAGATGAGAAACATTTTAAATTTTGATGAAAGTCAACCCTTGGGGCCATTTTCTTCCTTACAATGTGACTTAGATAGGATGGACTCCACCAACTCCGAGCCCTGTTTATAGTGTCTAGTGGGCTATTCTAAGCATAGGAATAGTTGCATTGTGGGTTTCTGAAATGTGTCAAGTGGTGTAGAAAAAAAAAGCTTTGAAAGCACTCCCTACTTTTGTAAAATAATAATAATAACAATAATAATAATATAGCTTATACAATTGAGAAAGCTGATTGGATGACCAGTGAAACGTCTTCAGGAAAAATACAGCAAATCCGGTTGCCTTGACTTATTTTTTACAGCTATACCATGACTTGGATGAATGAGAAAGTTCACAAACATGCTGGCAGGCAAATTGGCTCCTGTCTAAAGTGGCCCTAGTGTATATGCAAGTCCAGTTGCCTTGACTTATTTTTTACAGATATAGCCTACCAGCATGTCTTTGGAGTGTGAGAGGGAACTGGAGTACCCAGAGAAAACCCACAGAAGTGCAGAGAGAACATGCAAACAAGTCTTTGCAGATAGTGTCCTAACCAGGATGCAAATTGGGGACCCCCAGTGGCACAGGTTCTAACCACTAAGCCACTGTGCTGCCACAGGTTGTAATAATACATTTCTCAACTTACACTTTGTAGGCATGGGAAGCTTATATTTTTGGAAAGTAGTTTAGACGTCCCAGGGCATGTTGACCCAAAGCTTTCAAATCAAAGTAGGCCTGTGCAATAAATAAGACCTGTTATGTTTGCTACTACAGCTTTTGGTGGATCACAACAGCAGACCTTTATTAAAAGAAAAAAAAATTGGAAGCTTCATGGCTGGTGTTTTTTTTTTAATTTTAAATGATAATTGCCTACTTTTTAAGGCATTTTACAGTACTTCATTAATTCAGAAATGTGATTTAAATATTCATTTATTTTTCATTTCTTTCTCATACTAGAATGAGTGATATCCTTCATCGCAGGCAGAGGCTGCCATGGTTATGGCCAGACCTCCTATACTCAAAGCTCGCAGAAGGCAAAGAGCATGATAAGAACCTTCACATTCTGCACTCATTTACTGACACTGTGAGTCATTTTCAAATCGGTTTCTATTCTTTCATTTTTTGTCTCTGTAAAGGAGTGACATGTTTCTTTAGCTTAGTAAAACTGTGTTAACTTGAATCTTTCGTTCTAGGAAACCCTATTTATTAAATTTCCCTACATGTGTGATTGGGTACTAAAGAGAATAGAGGTCCAGTGAGCTAAGGAACATTCTGATTCTATTTCTAAGTAATTGAAGAAGATTGTTCATGCATTTTAGTCTATACCTTACAATGCTACCAAATTCTCATCTGGGTTTTATAAGAAGTAGATTTTTAGCTCTTATGTATATAAGATGAGCTGATCTTTTAAATGTGATGATATTAGAGACCTGTGCAAATGGCATTTATGTACACAATATTGGTCATCTTACAGTTACAAATGATAGAACATTTTTGCTTCTGAAAACAAAACTAATGAAACAGGGGCGTAACTAGAAATCACAGGGCCCCATTGCAAAATTTTGTATGGGGCCCTGTGATCTCTAGTTATGCCCCTTGCAGAGCCCAGCTGATATACCAAACAGCCCACCTGAGAGTGACCCTGCAGAGCCCGCCATAGACTCTCTATGGCGGGCTCTGCAGGGTCTCAAGTGGGCTGCACACCTCTTACCTTTCAGCGCAGTCCACCGCGTCCATCCCCGGGCCCTGCCTCCTCTTTCATCGTCGGGCTCTGTCTTCTCCTCTATTGATGGGCCCCGCCTCCTCTTACATCACTGGCCCCTCCTGCTCTTAGGTCGCCGGGCCCCGCCTCCTCCTTCACTGCAAACACTGGATCCAGTCTCTTCTGCAGAAGCTGCTGGCTGTCACTGACACAGCTCAGCGGCAGATGTGAGGAAGAACGCGCGTCATTCCTCTTGACAGCCAGCACCCTGATATGCCATAGCGACCCAGGTGGCCCGCACGGCATCAGAGGGATGCCCTGGCCGGGCCCCCCTGTGCCCGAGCCCCATAGCGGCCTCCTGGGTCGCTATGGCGATTGTTACGCCACTGTAATGAAATAATAAACGTTGTAAGCATGATATATAACCTAGAGTTCAGGTAAAGTAAGTTTTATACTCAAGACAAACATTTGCATTTCTGGTTGTCCAGTATTGAGATATATACAATCTGACATACAGGGCAGGACTGTCTGGCAAGTAGGCGGTAGGAGAGCAGAACCGCCTGGCAGGAAAGAGGACCTTAACTCACAACAAACTGCAAAAGGCTAATCCAAGTCAAATTCACATACCTACGCTGCTTTGGAATCAGCTAGACATGTGCGCCCGCAAAAAAAAAAATTGTTTTGTTTTGTATTTTTCATTATTTAGTTTTTCGGGATTCGGGCTTAAAAGTCAATTTGTTTAAGGATTCAGACGAAATCCAAATTTTCGTTAATTTCGTTAGCGGTAGTATGTACGAACGAAATTTCCTTACTAATAAATTGTCGCAGCAAAGTGGCATTAGACAAAAGAAAAAAACAATCTATTTTTTTCTTGCAGGTTGAGGTTCCCCCACAATTTATACCAGACCCTTTAGGTCTGGTAGGAATGTTAGCATGAACCCCCCCAAGTTAAAAATAAGTTTAAAAAAGTGCACAAGGTTCCCCCATAAAAGTCATACCAGGCCCCACCCTCAAAAAATTGGAAAAAAAGTGGGGCTAAATTTCCCAACCAGACCCTTAATCCGAGCCCAGGCCTGGCAGGGGGGACAAGGGAGCATCTCCCCCTCCCTGCGCCATACCAGGCCACATACCTTGGCATTAGGAGGGTGCTTTTTCAGGGTCCCCCCTGGAAAAGCACCTTGTCCCCATGCCAATGGAGACAAGGGCCTCTTCCGCCACAACCCTGGCCCAGTGGTTGTGGGGGTCTGCGGGCAGGGGGGCTTATTTGCATCGAGGTACCCACTTTATTAAGGGGCACCCAGATGCCGCCCCCCCTTGTGAATGAATAAGGTGTAGTTGTTACCCCTACTCATTCACTAAAGGGTCAAATTAAAAGTAAATAAACTCACAACACTCTTGAAAAAATTCCTTTAATTGAATAAAAAACAGAGTCAGTTTTTGACAAGTCTTTTATTTAAAAAAAAGGATCCATCAATGTAATCCAACGTCAATCACGATGAAGGGCATCCGCCGACTCACCAAAATAAAAAAAGTCCGACCCGTCCGAACCCGACAAAGACACGCTGCAAAATGACAGCTCCAGCCCGAATGTAAACAAATGGGCGGGGCTTGTTCCACCCATTTGACATTTTGAGCTGTCATATAACACGATAGCATTCGGGAGCTCCCGAATGCCATTCGGGTCTGAGACCCGAGGTGTCATAATACTATTTATATGACACCGCGGCCCCTGGACACAGCGGGGAATTCATCGATCTATTAAAGTCTAGACTTTTTAATAACTATTTGATTTAACCCTTTAGTGAATGGGTAGGGGAACAAGTACCCCTTACTCATTCACAAGGGGGGCAGCATATGGGTGCCCCTTAATTAAAGGGGTACCCAGATGCCACTAAGCACCCTTGTCCGCAGACCCCCACAACCACCGGTTCAGGGTTGTAGGGAAGAGGCCCTTGTACCCATCGGCATGGGGACACCCTCCCAATGCTGAGGGCACGTGGCCTGGTAAGGTGCAGGGAGGGGGGCACTCGATTGTCCCCGTTTTCCCCCCAATTTTTTGGGCCTGGGGTTCCCCCTTAAAACTCCTACCAGACCTAAAGGGCCTGGTATGGATTTTGGGGGAACCCCACATACTTTTTTTTTGTTTTAACTTGGGGGAGGGTCCCTCCTAACATTCCTACCAGACTTAAAGGGGCTGGTATGAATTGGGGGGGAACCTCACGCTTATTTTTTTTTCATCTTCTGCAGACTGTAAAAAAAAAAAAAGTTTTCTAATGTCACTTTTCTGAAACGGAATTTCGTCCAACAAACAAAATTTCGTCCAGACTACCGCTAACGAATTTCGGGAATTTGCATTCTGTATTTTTGTAATTCGGAATTCGGATGCATCCGAATGTCCGAATTTCCGAAATTTTGTACAAAGTGAATCGCACATGTCTACAATACACCATCCGCGTGATATACTGTTCGGAGTCACTTTAGAGGTAGTGCTCCATTATGTGCCTGGAGTTTCCTTTGTAGCTGCCGTAGCTCTTTCTCTTGTAGGTGCCTCTCGCTTTCTCTGCTGGGCTTTCCAGATCCAGCGAAAACACGATCTGCTTTGTTTGCTTTGCTTTGCACTCTCATGCACCTTGAGGGCTTTCTCTTTTTCTTCATTGTGCATATTTCCTTTCCTTCTGTCATATTCATAGATTAATTTTCCTTTGGGGTATTCTAGTGTTAGTCGCTGCTCAGGTCTGGTTTCTAGAGCATTAATAAGAGCACTGTATGACTCTAGAAAGCTGCATAGCAGTAATGCCACCATGTGGTTATCTTTAATTTCCTCACCAATTGCACGTAGTTGTTCTATGATTTACAGCATGGCATTCACGCAATTCCTGGCCTTTTTCTAGCCTCATCTTATATACATTGTGTAGCAGATATAGTTTACTCTTCAGGTTTGAACGCTCATGCAATTTTTGTAATGCAGTCCACATGCCTTTAGCTGTATTCTTTTTATTATGTGGATGAGCTGGTCATCTTCCTCTAGCAGACTTATAATTGCTTTTGCTTGCCTGTTCTTCTTGTCCCATTCCTCCACGGATCCATTAGTGGGTCTGTCTGTACTCAGTATTTGCCACAAGTCGTCTTTGCTTAGCAGCATTTCAAGCTTGAACTTCCACAGCTGGTAGTTGCTATTGTTGAGCTTTGCAATTGCAAACTTCATATCTGAACTACTTGCCATCTTCCAGTAGCTTGGATGCAGCTCTTTTTGCTTTGCCGTATTCTGTTTAGCGTCTGTGGTTATCTGTTTAGATGCAGCACTGAGATATTGCTTAGAATAATGTTGCATACATGTTTACAGGATTACAACATCAAACAGGAAACATATAGATCATAGATAAGTATACATATAGAAAACTAACATACAGACTACCATAGACTAGCTTTGCACTACAGCGCCATCCAGTGCATTTCCAACATGAGGTAGTTTCAATTCTGGGTGCAGTGAATTACAGAAAAAGGATATAAAGGGTGAACATGACAACTTTCTGAAGGGAAAAAGCATAATTCTACATTTTCCATTAGAGGCTATGGGCATTTGAAGAGCTTGAACACGATAATGGAATAAAACAGCACATAAATACAAAGCTTATCTTCTACAATCATTGTCATATATTTTTGACATGTCACAATACACAACAACAGAATATTTAATGAAAAAAACCCTCTAACTTGTTTAATAAGAAAATGAGCCCAGTGACTTTGCCTAAGACAGGATGATGTCATTAGTCTTCTGCGGGCAGAGTGAGGCATTTCCTCTATCTCCTTTACCCCCATAATCAACATTGTAACTTTGTGTCAAGTCACAAGGTGGGAGGCTGCCATAGCATTCTGATCTGTGTTAGACATTTGTGATTCAGGTCAGGCAGTAGATGCTGACCTTCAACAATGTGTGAGCAAAGATGGCTCGTTCCTTCTGGAGAGAAAAGCAGGTGAAGGTGTTGACAGGGGAAGTACTGGCAATACATGCGTATAAGTATTACAGTTAAACATCACTTTGCTTACATTCACATAGCATGCTAAGTCCGCTTTAACACATTTATGAGAAAGGTGACCTTTAATTTTAAGATGTTGTTTGTTAGCTATCCTTCTACATTCTACACTGTATGTACACATTCTACATACAGTACATGAACCATTTTACAACATCATCTGACCTACATTTGATGCACATTTCATACCCGTGTTTTAATGAAGAGCAGTTTTTCCAGGCTGCTGCAGGTGACACTGCTGTTGTCATCTAGGAAAATTGCAGGATAATGAGCTCAAACACATAATACTCTTTTATTTACAAAATAGACAAAATATATTTTTCAATTAACAATTCATTATTTGAAATAAATGTATAATATACACTTATTACTCAAGTATAAGCTACATTTTAGATCTGCTTTACAATATGGGTGCAATTTGCTTTTTTTCTGAATATATATATATATATATATATATATATATATATATATATATATATATATATATATATATATATACGTA